ACCAAAAGAAATGGTGTTAAAAGAGAAAATGAGTAAACATTAGGGTCGATTTATTTGAAATCGATTGTTGAATAATCGTCATTTTCCACTTTTCTATTTAGAACACTTACAACTTCACAACACAAAATCCATCCAAGGATATCAAATAATCACCATAAAAATTCTCCTAGTTATGACGCCTTATCGAAGAGCATTGCAGCATGGCTAATCAAAAGCATTTCTTTACCTACTCCCCTTCTTTGGAACAGATACCCCATCTTTGGACTTTTCACCTGCGATCCGCGAATGAATAAAAAGGTCCATACTTTTATTAATGTGTTCTGATAATAATGGAAAGCTATTTTACTTATCCATATTGTGAAATGGCATAATATGAAAACAAAGCACTAAGAACTGAAACTATCAGAACTTGAACAGAAAGCAGTACATAGTTCTCCAGCTATACTAACCTTTGGAATCCGGCTTCACCTTCTCATTGGGATTGATTGTTCCTCCTCTAACAAAGGCCTTCGACCCAGGTGCGTTATCCCCTTGAAATGACTCCACAAACTCCGCATATAACCGAGCTGTTTCATCCTCCGCTCTCTGAAACGAAAATCGAAAAGAACAAAACAATAATTTGTCAGTAAACCTGTTTTCCACAAAAGCCGAGCCAACAAGCTCAATGAGGTTAATAATCAATGGCGGCAGCTGCACCTTTTTCTTTGCCTCTTCCTCCTCCCTGTGCTTCTGGAACGGAGTCTTCTTCCGGGTAATCGAGAACGAACTCATTTTGCATCAGCTTCGGCAAATCAGTTCGACAAAACGCATCAAAACTCAATACTTCAACGTCAATTCACAAAGTATAAAAACTACGAACCCAAATTTGCATAAAAAACGAAATTCCAAACCATGAGAGATTACCAAGTTCAAAATTCCTAATTTATTTAGCTCAACCGTCAGAAATCAAATCTGCTTACCGAAAGAGTGTGTGAAGGTTGAAACCTTAATTCCCGCAAGCCCCAAACCCGACTGGTCCGATTGCGAATCCGCCCTCTCTTCTGCAAAGCCGAGAATCGCGGAGGACGACGACTGTGAAACGCAGTGGGCGATCAGAAATTCAGAAAGAGGCTCCGCAAAAGCCCTAATCGTAAATTTGGGTACTACTGATTTTTTTACTGTAAAAACCAGGTGGACTGACTATTTAGTATTATTTGCCTTTTGGAGATGTACAATTATTTGATGGCACAATTACAAAATTATATTAAATCTAAAATTAAAATTTTTGTTAATCAAGGTCTTATTGCACTAAATCAAAACTCTTTTCGAATTTTAAACATCTTTCTCATTATGGAATGAAATGTCACCAGAACAATCAGATGAAACGCCGCTAAAACAAATAAGGTCTGGAAACGCCTTCATATTTGGTTGTATCGATACCAATTGCAAGAATAATTTCTCATATGGTTTATTTGCTTTTGGGAAAGAAAAACAAAAATTCTCTTCAAGTGTTAGAAGAGGTCTCGAGTTTGAATTTTTTATTGATAAAAAGTATAATTGATAAAAACCAATATGTACTTTAGCGGTTTTGATTGAATCTCTAACCACACTAGTTTTCATTAAAACCACAACCTTCACCCTTTCAGACGTACTTTTGGGTATCTCCTCTGCTTTGAAGTTTAAATGGTACAAGATTCTGATGCCATCACAGTCAAAGGTTCATGAAACAAAGAAGAATTGCTCCGGAATCGAAGCCGACGACAAACGTTGGTTTTCATTTGAAACTTGGGCAAAGCTACCATATAATTTTGAAGATATGTGCACAGGTAGAAAAGTTACAACACCCGAATAAAAACAGACCGGATGAAAGCCCGGATGGTCTGAAATTATACACTTCATAGCTAATTCCCTTAATATTTGATTCAAGTCTGAAGTTTGCCACAGACATAATCTGCAGCATCACTTTTGTCAATGCGCCAGTTTTTGCAGATGTCGAAGTGTCCGTTGTTTAATCCACTGTCGGTCATAGGGGAGATATGCCTGAATCGAATGATCATATCTGCAGACCAAAACCAGACAGAAAGGTATCAGTTTCCCAACCCAACAGACATCACAAACAAAAATTTGAAATGGGAAAGTTAAAAGAACAGCAGATGATCGGGAACCATTCTAACTCAAAATTTGAAGATCGTTGACATAATTCTACAAAAAAAGAAAGTTCAGTGACAAGCTATACATAGTTTGGTGCCTATTTGTGTGTGAGTTTTGTTGAGAGAGAGAGAGAGAGAGATACACTAAAGCACTCATGTCGGCAAGGCCATCAATGAAATTGTAGAGATCTCCGATGTCATAAGAGATATCTCTAATTGCTGGATTTAACTCCCTCAGCTTCCTCTCATACAGTCCACATATACCTATACACACAACAGCATAACTTCTAGTCAATGCAATAAAAAACAATGGCGGTTATAACAACATTATTTCTTGGGAGCCCTCCAGCCTTTTTTCACCCTGATGTATCCAACTGTGAACCAAGAGGGTTAAAAAACTCTCAAGGAACATATATGTACAGAGAAAAGAAGAAGAGGGGCAGAGGGAAGAAACATGTTTTCTCTCATATGAAGTGGAAGTTTAATGTCACCCAAACTATCATGTTTCACCAGACACAAGTACACAAGTCATATAGTAGCGTTGTCACAAGTCATATGAAGTGGTTGTATCGGTACCCCTATGAGAGTTTTACAAGCTCCGAATTAATGGATCAACCAGGATTCTGGATAAAGTTGGCATTTGAATCTAATTAGGCATACTAATATTTCATTCAAGTATTCCATGCAGGTCAACAACTCTCACATTGGCGAGCAAGAGAGCCAAATAATCAATATCAATTACTTATCACGTCCATCATTTTCTAAGAAAAACTTACTTACTCACCTAATAGGTGAAAGTAAACTTTTTTCTCCCTCTGGAATCAGCTATGCCTTTCAGTTTCCTTCAAGAATAAGCAGTTCACGGACACTTTTTTTCTTATACACAAGAATTCCTTTTACAACATAAGAAGCAGTTCACAGTACCAAAGACTAAATACACTTTGGAGCCGAAAGAATGATGAACGATAACAATGATAGTGTAACAACAACAATTTTTATAAATAAATAAAACGTAATCACAACAACCATAAATAAAACATACCATCCATTGCTTGACTTATGGAATCATAGTCCATAAAGGTTCTACTTGCTTTGTTGTGAGAAGTTTGCATTAGAATGATCGTGTGCTTGTTCGCCTACATGACGAAAAAAAAAGTGCAATTTAGTCAGCATTCCAACACGACAGGTTCATATTATGAAAGCACGAAAAGTACTTCAATCTAAAAACATCGAAATTATCATGGAAACAGAGCATTATAGACACAATAGCTGTATTGTACTGTAAATCTTGACAGCAAAGTTCAACAGCAAAACTCACATTCACGTAACCTTTTGAAAAAAACCCACAAACCAGAACCCCAGCCGTCTGTTTGGTTCCCCATACAACAGAGAAAAGGAAAGAAAACCCAACAAATATAAATTAAAACAGAAAAATCCCTTCCAAGTAATGTCAAGCCCAGCAGAAAAATCCCTTCCAAGTAAGCTTAAACAGAAAAAAAAAATTTCTAGATTCTCAGCTTCCAATAATTCCAAGATCCAACTTTACAGAACAAAACCCTAATTTTGCATAAATAAATAAAGGGAGCTTTAACGAAAAGCATCCGGTACTGTTCACTTTAACGAAAAACCACATTTTTACACTAAAAAGTCAATCCTGGTACTATTTACTTTACCCTTTATTTTGTCCTTATCATTAAAACTCAAAGTTTTCAAGCCCTTTTCATTAGTTTTTCTATAAATAAATAGTACGAATTGCAGAGGGAAAAAGGAGAAAATAAATAACTACAGAGAAAAGCAAATAAATTTATGGGAGAAAAAGAAAGTAGATTACCATGTGAGAGCTGACAGTGACGACCCAAAAGTTTGCAGCAAAATTAGGGTTGCGCAGAGAAGACGAGACGGCCGGAGGAAGAGAGGGAGTGAGAGAGTTGAAGACGAAGACTTCGAGCAGGGCCACTAGGTTAGGGACATGCAGAGTTGAGGGTAAAGTAGACAATTACGATCTCGGTTGCGGTGGTCTTTTGACGGAGAACCCAGACCGTTGGATTTGTATACTTTTTTCTTTGGTTGTTGTGTGTAGCGGTGGAAAGTAGGGAATAAAGGAAAAACCGAAAGACTGGAATGCTTTTGGAAAAGAAGAAAAAGACTTTGGAATGTTTATCCAGAGTTGTTGAAATTCTCCGTTAAATTAAGAATATTCTTGTCACGTCAATCCTTCATTTGAGTGATGGTTTTTTCAATTTAATAACAGTTTTTCACAAGGGCCAAAATGATAGACTATTTTTATCACATCAATCCTCTCTTTGAACGGTGGTTTCTTCAATTTAACAAAGGTTTTTCATAAGTACAAAAATGATTGACAGTGATAATTTCGAAAACCCCTTATACTGATTTTAAATCTCAAAAATCAAACTAAAAAGCTATGATAATCTCATAAAACAAAAAAATACTTTTTTTCCGTAAGGAAGACTTTGGGGCCGACGCAAGTCAATGGGAGAAAGAGGATTGTGACTTATGAATATAGAGCTGATCAGGAACCTGGCTTCTCTGCCCTCTCAGTTCCATACACTCTCATCATTTTCTATTTGTGAGGTCACGGTTAAGCCACATCAACTTTTTATATCACTATTGCTTTTTGTTTTATTATCTCTATAAAATATTAACATAACTTAACCGACAAAATATGAGAGAATGGAAGTGTATGGCTACTGGAAGGGCAGAGAAGCCGGGTCCGCTGATCAGAGCAATTTCTTGTAATTAAGCTAATTCACTGACAATCGTTGACAGATTAAAAATTAGCAAATCATCGCACTTGAAAGTTCCAGACCATTTTAGCAAATTCGAACATACACAATTGTATAAATGCAAATATGATGATTGTAATCACAATATATGAAAAAGAGAACAGAAAGCAACAAGGAGTTAGTCCAAATACAAAAGAAAAAGAAATAAAAACGCTTGGAAGTTGCCATTCCTACTAATATGCTAATCACAGTTCGATACAGATGCATAAACGTTTCCTTTTGTGTTTCTAATGAGTTATTTCAGCGTATGTGTTGCATGGAGGAGGAATGTCACATTCCATGAAAGGAGCCAAGAAGTATTCGAAGAGAAAACTACTGACAAGACAGGATATTAACTAGCAAGCAATATACAGGTATTTCCATATATACTCCATCTTCTCCTTACTGGCTGCCGCCGTGCATGTTCTGCAGCTCTTTTACTCAAGCTGCGACCAGTTTCTGGATATCCTTCTGAAAAAAAAAATTATACAAAAAAATCAGACCGGAAAAACAGGGGTGAGAGATCTGTTACTTTAAAGGGAAAAACTTCTTATAATCTTATGTCCATATTATGATGCTCTAGTTGCCATGTTGTTTCACTTCAGAAACACACTAAGCAGAAAAAGTACACGTTATTTCGGCAACCATATTAAGTTTCATATCTTCAAGCTTCGGTTATTGCTTTGATAACGATGCTACAGAACTATCGACTTTTTCGGTATCAATGAAATTTATTCAAACCAAAGAAAGCTGCAAAAGAAGCAAGGATAGCACTACAAACAGACTCAACAAAGCAACCACAGGAGATTGTCTCAGAAGATTTACAGGAACGTTCCAATCAGCATCAGTGGTTAAACAAATGGATTGGCCTTGATCAATATTTGATTGAAAAAAATATGGAGTGGTTGCGAGGATAGGGGACTTCAAAACTATTTCACTTTATCAATGTAATAGCGTAAATTCTAGACTTGCTTAACCACCAAATCACCAACTACGCTTGAACGAGGAAACAGGTGGTTCAAAAATGATGTCAACATCTAGAAACATAATTGTAGAAAGCTAGGTTCCACCAAACCGTCAAGTTCCCTAACATTTACTTAAGGAATAATGAACTTCCTAATTATACAACCAAATGAAAAAAGGAAAATGCATACCTCAATTTGAAAAGGGGATGTCGTTGGTGGGTATCTCTCAACAACTTTACCATTCTTGTCCACCAAAAACTTCTCAAAATTCCACTTGATAATGTCACCTAGAAAACCTCCTGCATTTGATTTCAGAAACTGGTAAACCGGAGCTGTGCTGGGACCGTTGACATCAACCTGTAATGTACCTTTAGTACTTGAAACACCCATCTCAATACAAAAAAAAAATTACAATAAGAAAGCAATGGATGGAAGACATGCAGTTGAACTTTGCACCTTATCAAAAATCGGGAATTCGGCTTTAAACCTTGTACAAGCAAACTGCTTGATTTCCCCATTTGATCCGGGTTCTTGGCCCCCAAACTGATTGCAAGGGAATGCTAGAATCTCAAATCCTGCAATGAGACTGAGTTTAGATACGCAGCATCAATTAGCACCTTAAGAAAATATCAACAGAAGCACTTTTGTTATACCGTTTCATGGTCAAAGTATTTTTTACGTCAAAAGTTTTGTGGTCAAAGATGAATCAATAAAACAACGCATTCGAAAACTAATCCTCCCCATGCACCCGCATCCCTGACCAACCAAAAAGAAAGTGACTTGTGCAACGAGAAAAAGCACTCATCTTTAAGTTTGCAGCTGGAGAACTAATCCAAACCATTTCAGAAACATATGAAATTCAACCTAATGCAACATTTTGTGGATACGAAATTGTTATTGAAAAGGAAAAACGGGAATTTTGCGGAGTTGCAGCATACCTTGTGTTTTGTATTTCTCATACAAGTGTGACAGTTCTGAGTAATTTGAAGAAGTCAAGCCACTGAAATTCAAATAAAACAAGTTTTGGTCAATTCACTAGCATCTCAAACTTCCAGTCTTCCACAGAGACCTTCCGTAAAATTCAATTCACATGTAAAAAATAGTTCCAACTCAATAAAGAAAGCAATACCATCTTGAAGCAACATTGACAATCAAAAGAACCTTCCCCTTGAACTTCCTAAGAGGAACATCCTTAGCATCAATATCCTACATTAAGCAAATTTCAGACATTAGTTTAAAACCCGACCACCTAGTTCAAATGTTCTAACTTCAAATTTGATTCTTCTGAACATTACAACATTACAAGTATAAAATCGACAAAAATCCTAGAAACAAAGAGGAAAAAAAAACATAATTTCATCAAATAATTAGGGAAACTGAAAAAAAGATGCATTCTTTCTAGGAAAATATATATTTTACATATTTACACACACACACATACATACCTTGACAGTGAAATCATAAAGACTTTTCTCTGTAGCTGCTCTTGCATAAACACTCAAAGACCGAGATTTGAACAAAACCCCATTAAAATTTTCCGATTGCAAAGACAACCCATTTCGGAAAAGTGCTGATTGCGAAGACCCAAGTGAGGATTTGATCCAGCACGCCATGGGAGGGCATGAAGCTGAAGAATTCGAGCTTGCTTTTGTTTGAGAAAACCCCTGTGAAGGTGTTGAAAAAGTTCCAAAGAAGGACATGGAAGCCATTGTTTTGCTGGTGGGGACTCTGGAACTCGGTGGAAATATGGAATTTCGGGAGTTGCAGAGCTCTTCACGATAATTCGCCGGTCGAGGCAATGTGATTCTGTGAAGCATGTGGACTCCCAAGTCCACAGAGAGTTTTCCTCCTGTGGAAGGTGTTGTTACACGTGGTTTTATTTATTTGTTTTTGGCTAAATGGTTGTGTTTCTTTTTTTTTTATGGCTATTTTAAAGAAAAATTAATGTAAATGATTTGATAAAATGAATAGTACTAGAATTAAATTTTTAATGTAAAAATGTGATTTTTCGTGAAAATGAACAGTACTGAAAACTTTCGTTAAGATTCTCTTCTCTTATTTTAATAGTTGATCCTCCTCGCGAATGCAATTTGCTCATAGTTGAGGGTCCAATACTTAATTTTATTTTTTACCTCTTAATCAAATAAAGATATACAATTTCATGTCATCATACTTATATTCAATTACTTTTATTCAAATTTAAACCATAACGATATTAAGGTTGAAAATTTAGAATATTATATGCTGTTGATAAAAAAAGAATATTTTATAATTTATATGCTAAATAAGTTGATACTTAGGATCATTTTTTAAGGAATTTCATTTATATGCTCAATTTTACAATCGCTCAAATTTAACCTTCATTAACTGAATTTCTGATTTTGTCACTGTCTTGATCACATGATGATGTCTCATGGAAATATTCAGTTGTAAATGAAATTTTTATGTGAATGTCAAGTTTGAAGATAAAATATTTTGGACATTTAATGTGATTAAAGCTATTTGATTGTTATATCAACAATGTGAGATATTTAAACTTAAAATACATTGAGAATAGAAGTACTATATGATCATTATATAATATCGATTAAAAATAATATATAAAAATAACAAAGCACTATGACCACAAAATTCGGAGGTGGATTGTCTGTCCTCCTATTTATATATTATTCTCATCTCCTCCTGTTTGTATGGTCACGGTTAAGTCACGTCAACATTTTATATTAATTTTTTTATAAAAATAATAAAACAAACAATAATAGGAATATAAAATGTTGACGTGGCTTAACCGTGATCACACAAAACAAAAAAAATGATGAGAAGAGTATGAAAATTGGAGCGTAGTCAATCCACCTCCTCAAGTCAATTTAGGAAACCTTTTGATTGGCGAATCCAATACCACAGTATAGGCATGTTTCCTTTCCGTTTTCTGCCTGAACTAGTACAAGATGAAAAGTCAATGCTATAAAAGTAAAATATAAATTCACTATCAAAATAAATAATCCAATTTGGAAAAATATTTAATTAATTTAAGTTAGTATTTTGAAGGAAACAAAAAGTTTGAAGTTTTGGAAACCTTTTATTTCTACCATTGAAGGTTCAATTCAAACCAAGAAAATATCATTGCAACCAAAAATTTTAAAAATTAAATTAAACTTAAATTTTGCACGCACACCGTATAGACGTTTACTCTTTAGTGGAATTACTAATTTACTACCGAATAAATAATTTTTATGATGAATCTCTAAGACTTTACAACATGTAACAACTTGTCACATAACATTAAACATTCTGTTAACTGATAATACCAGCAACATACCAATTTTCTACCAACAAAAAGTCACGTTGATACCGCGCGTACACAACAACTTCTCAATCAATCATTTAAGATTTTGATGCTTGTCGCGTTGTGTCACGTGAAGATTTATCTGAAAAAAAAAAGAAAGGAATTGTTTTGGTGGGATTGGAATTGAATTATATTTCCTTTAGTTAATTTTTGTTGGAATATTTTTATCTTAATTTTGTAAGAGTAAATTATAACAATGGTTCATTAACTTCAATTCAATGAGAGTAATGGTCTCTCAACTAAAAATCTATTACTATTGGTCTCTTAACTCTTCAAACGTACAGTTATGGTCCCTCAACTAAAAATCTATTGTCATTGGTTTCTCAACTCTTCAAACGTGCAGTTATGGTCCCTTAATTAAAAATCTATTATCATTTGTCTCTTAACTTTATCCCAACTGGAGATATGATCCCTCAACTTTAACACAATTATAGCAATAATCCTTCCAACATAACTCATTTTGACAAAGTTCCGACGAAGTTGACGAAAAGAATCATAGCTACACATTTTGTTGATTTGAGGGACACCAATTGTAGCAATGGTTATTCCAATATAACTCATTTTGACAAAATTCTAACGAAATTGACGAAAATAATCATAATTATACATTTTAATGAATTGAAGGATTAATGATAATAAATTTTGAATTAAAAAATCATTACCCTAATTTAATTAAAATTGAAAGACACTGCTACAATTTACGTAAATGCGTTTCCGAAAAATGAAAGCGTTAAAACGACAACAGGGAAGGGTTTCTCTCAATATTGTGTAGCATAAATAGGGTTTACGTTTCTGTCTCTCTCTTCCCATTTTGGAGCGCGCTGCTGCCAGACGCCTAAACTCTCTACGCCTATAGATATATAGACACAGAGATAGATAAAGGAGAGAGACTGCCTCCCCGTGTCTATCTTCAAACACAAAAACCTAACCCTATCCACTGTTCCAAACGCTCCCCTCGCGCTTAGTGCGGCTGCACTCTCTTCCGCTTATCTAGTCGGAAAAGAAAGATCGACGGCGGCGAGTTATGATGGCGGATCCGACGTTGATAAGCTTGAGACCTGGCGGCACCGGCGGCCTCCGTGTCCCCAGATTCCTCACGGCTCGCTTCGATTCCAACTCTTCTGATGCTCAGGCTCTTCCCTCCCATTCCGGCCTCGCTCCCGCCTTCAAGGTCCCTCCTTACTCTAGCTCCTCTCTCACATAGAAAAATATACTTTTGTATAGATATTTGTATGTTTACATGAATGTGTACGGGGATCTGGTACTCTGGAGGTTTAATAAATCCGAAGACTTTTCCTTTTCTCTTGTTTCTGGTGGATTTTCGATGTCGAGTTTTGAATTGTATGCGTTTTTGTTTTGAATTCCATTACTGGTTGGAGAAATTGAAAGTGAACTCATTGTAAAAATTGGATCTTTCAGTCACATTATTCCGTTAAATCCTCGGAGAGTATACTCTTTTGTAATCCTAAACCAAAAATTCAACTTTGAGATAATTGGAAAAGGAGTTTGTTGTCGAAATAGGGTAAATTTGATATTTTAAGATTTAAACGTCCTAATTCTTGGCAGGGCTCTCAAGAATGTGTACCAGCTGTAAATATGGACGAAGAGTTTTATGTCGGGTTTTTAGGTGGGCTTGCAATGAGTCTGCAATACCCATAAAGGACCAACATTACATGTTAAGCTTCTTAAATATAATTTTGGCTGCTGTCTGTTGATTGTGATTTCTTACTCATACGTGTGGAATAATTTGACATGTCTTTCACTTTAGGTTGCATATGTTCGTTTATGATCGATTCCTCACTCTTCATTGATAACATATCTTCTTTGTGTGTGCTTTCTTATTTCTGTTTCGAGGTGTATAGCTCATTTACTGAGGATTACCCTTCATATGTTTCAACTCTTTTACCTATGTTCTTGTTACAGACTGGTGACTTGCGGTTTGAAGGTCGTGAGCGAGTTCGATATAGTAGGGATCAGCTATTGCAGCTTAGGGAGGTACTGTTGTGATCACTTTTCTTTATAGCTTCTATTGTTCTTTAACTACGTTATGGAGCACTATGAAGATAAGTAGAATGTTTCTTAGTATCTATCCTAGAAGGTGGGGATGATAGTGTTTTTCTTGTATGACGATCTTACCTTTGGTATAGGCGGCCACTACCATCTCTGAAGAAATTTTGAAGGTTAAACGAGAAATAGATGCTGAGTTTGTTACAGAGGATCCTGCTTGGGGTCATGCAGATACTACCAATGTGAGTATAATTACTTTTCTCTTCTACCATGCAACTATGTTATTGTTCTGGACAGTACACTAATTAATATGAGTTTTCGCGGTTACAACTGTTGAGTCCATGTTATTGGGTTCATTCAATTAAACTTTTCATCCTATAATTCGAAGTCTGATACACTTATCCTTTTTCTCTAAACTTTTCCTTCAATTTTCTTTAGCTGCAACCTCAAACCCAAGGTCGATATTCCGAGCCAGATAACCGCGATTGGCATGGTCGATCTGCACCTGCTTCTGATGAGGATAAAAAGGAATTCAATAACCAGCAGGACCAAATAAATTCCCAGTTTGGAAGGACGCAAATTTCTGGTAACCAAGTGGTAATAAGTTATTATCCAATAGTGTAATGGATATACATGGTCTCCCGTCTCTTAAGATTTTATGTTTTTGCATGCTATACTGCAGATCAGATTTGTTTACTCTCCCTAATTTCTTGTCCAATGCAATGAATACTAGCAAATAAGTTTAGGTTGCTAGTAATAGTAGGCACCAAAATATTGGCATGTATTTTGTACTGGCTTATTTAGATCTTGGAATAATTTTCGTTCCAGTAGTGTTCTTTTTTCTTTTTTCTAACTTTCTGAAAACACCAGGTAGGCCCTGCTCCTGCCCTCATTAAGGCAGAAGTTCCATGGTCAGCTCGAAGAGGAACACTCTCTGAGAAGGATCGTGTCTTGAAGACAGTGAAAGGGTAATTAATTCTTTGATTTGTATCAGCTTGAAGATTTTCTTCCATGATCTGTTCTACATTTTAAAAGGATGCAATTTAATATAAGCTAGATTTTTTTTTTTTTTTGTGCGACTGCTTGTTCTATCTGATTATCTTATGAAAAATGTTCTAATTTTTGTGCAGTATACTGAACAAATTGACCCCGGAGAAGTTTGACATTCTCAAGGGCCAACTGATTGATTCTGGAATAACCACTCCAGATATTTTAAAGGTTTGTAATAACAAAATGTCTTTGGATGCTTCTCACTCCATACTGAGTTATTACTTTCCTGCTGATGAGTTTGAGGGTTCAATTTGAATTGCAGGATGTTATCTTTCTGATATTTGATAAGGCTGTGCTGGAACCAACGTTTTGTCCTATGTATGCGCTTTTATGCTCAGATCTTAATGCAAAACTTCCTCCTTTCCCACCCGAGGAGGCTGGTGGGAAAGAAATCACATTTAAACGTGTTCTGTTGAATAATTGCCAAGAGGCTTTTGAAGGTGCTGACAACTTGA